GTGTGCGTGTGTGTGCGTGTGTGTGTGAGGGCGTGTGTGTGTGTGTGTGCGTGTGTGTGCGTGTATGTGTGTGTGTGTGTGTGTGTGTGTGGGCGGTGGGGGGAAAGGGTGGACGACCCTCCTCCAACCAACCAATCAATCAATCAATCAATCAATCAATCAATCAATCAATCAATCATCAATCAATCAATCAATCAGTCAATCAATAATAAATCAATCAATCAATCAATTAATCAATCAATCAATCAATCAATCAATCTTTTTTTTTTTTTTCCTGAAACCTCAGCAACCCCTCCCCCCTCCCCAACCAACCCCAAAACAAAAAAAAAAAATTCTTTTTTTTTACTTTGAGGGGGTAGCCCCCGGCATGCACCCCCACCCCCACCCCCTCAGGTGTCAGAAGCCCCCCGGGAAGGCCGCCGAAACAGCACGTACGACCGTACGTACAACCCGTACGGCCTCCTGAGGCCCGTACATACGACCGTATGGGCCGTAGGACCGACCTGTATTTGTACGGGGTGCAACATAGCCTGGGCCCGGTGAGGGGGTGACAGGGGGGTTTTGACCCCCAAAGATGGTAGGGGGGGTCTGGAGGGGCTCCATGATTTTTTTTTTTTAATTAAGAAAAAAAAATAACGTCAAAAAAAAAAAAAGAGCAAAATCAAATAAATCTACTTCCAGAACATGGAAACATACACTGCCAGACTTATGTTTGTGTGTTTGTGTGTGTGTCTATGTGAGAGAGAGAAAGAGAGAAGACAACTTTCCAACCTCGTGGCTGCCCTCAAGGTACTTCCATCGAATGGATGAGCAAAATTGAAGCAAAATTGAATGAATCTACCGCTAGAACATTGAAATATATATATCCACCTAGGTTACCAATGGTCAAGGAGCTGGTCGTCTCCCCCGGACATCTCCCCATACGTCCGGTACCCCCGTCTTCTGGAAAAACAAATTTGTTTTTTCGAAAAAAAATATACATATATATTTTTTTGTTTTTGCTTTTTAACTCATGATTGGATGAGAATTTAAACATGACTCCATGGCAAACGTTGCTTGTACTGTTATGTTACATAACATATATTTTTTTCAGATTTCGAGAACTGTTTTGTTTTTGTTTTTTTTTTGCGCTAAGCCGGACATACCCTGTCTGGTCGGACATCCAGGACGATCAGGGGGGTCCCGGACGTCCGATCCAACAACCTAGATATCCACACTTTTTTTTTTTTTTTTAATGAGAGAGACTCTGAGAGAGAGAGAGGGCAAGTCCCCAACCTCGTGGCTGGCCTCTTGGTACGTCCATCGGGTGGATTTACCGCTATGTAACTGTTTGAACCTCATGAACGAGCATTCGCGTTCAAATTTGCGTTTGAATGTGGATTCAAACTCGCATTTAAATTTAAACGCCGCTCAATTATTATTATTATTATTATAATTATTATTATTATTATTATTATTATTATTATTATCTGGGTAGCACCGCGTACGCGTGCGCGGTGCGTACACGCACGTGCTCGAAAACGCGCGATGCGCGTACGTCTACATTTAAAAAAAAAAAAAATTTTTAGTAATATTAGTATATAATATATATATAACTAGTTTGCAACTTATTCGAAAAGCGTATACCATTGTCTGCGTGGTATACGGTACGTATCGGGCGGTTTTGGACCTGTGGGCGCCCCGAGAATCATACACCCTTGCACGCACACGCACGGTGCCACACACAAACACACACACACATGGTGACAGATCAACAGATTTGCAAACATACTGACGTGACAGGGGGCAAGGTGACAGATCGAGAGATAAATAGTCACACAAACAAACTGATACAATGACCACTCACACAAACAATTGAAGCGAGCTACACACAGACGAGCACACAGGGTGGCAGAGTGACGGAAAAAGAAACAGGGAGGGTGACAGTTCGATAGATAGACACATAGTATTTGCCTGTCTGTCAAACTATCGCCCTCCCTGTTTCGTTTTCCGTCACTTTGCCACCAAGTGTGCTCGTCTGTGTGTGACAGGGTGGCAAGGTGACAGATCTACAGAAAGAGTGGCAAGGTGACAAATCGACAGATTGGCGTGACATAGTGGCACGGTGACAGATCGAGAGACAAACAGTCACACAGGCAGATAGACAGACAGACAGACAGTCACACACACAAACTGATACGATGACCACCCACACAGACAATTATTGTGAGTGACACACAGACGAGCACACAGGTTGGCAGAGTTACGGAAAGAGAAACAGGGAGGGTGACAGTTTGACAGTCAGACAAATAGTATATGCAAAGACAGACAGACAGATAGGCAGGTCAACAGACAGACGGACAGAAAGACTGACAGACAGAAAGACTGACAGACAGATAAGAAAGACATATTCTGACATACATGCACACAGGCAAAGACAGACAGACAGACAGGTAGAGCAACTGATAGACGGAGAGACGAACAGAAAGACCGACAGACACACGGGAAAGACAAATTGCGATAGACATGCATGCAGGCAAAGACAGACAGACAGACAGACGGGAAAGACAAATTCCAACATACATGCGCAGAGGCAAAGACAAACGGACTGACAGGCAAGGCAACAACACAGTTGTGTCTGCACAGCCTGCTAATATTTTTTTTTACTTTTTTTTTCCTCCGCTTTTTCTGATGCTGCAAGGAACTGCCATCACAACTCACACACACATGTTCGTCGTAGACACACACACACAGTGACATGGCAGCACGAAATCTGAGTCTGATGGAGAAACACCAGATCTCTCTCTCTCTCTCTCTCTCTCTCTCTCTCTCTCTCTCTCTCTCTCTCTCTCTCTCTCTCTCTTTGTGTGTGAGCCCTTCCCCTTCACCCGGCATCCTCCTCCATTTTTTTGTTCTGTGCAGTAGCTGATCGTCGTCTGATTCCTCGTCCTCCTCCTCCTCCCCAACCTCCTTGTCAACCCTCTCCTTTGCCTGTTCAGGGGCAGAACGTGGTCGACACTGGTCGCCCCCTGCCTTTGGAGGATCCTGAAGAAGGGCGCCCTCTTCCTCTCGAGGAACTTGAAGGAGGACGCCCTCTGGGTCTCCCTTGGGTAGATGGTGCACATCGTCGACCTCCTCTACCCCCACGTGGAGGTCGATAACTTAAGAGGATCCCACATGCCACCAACATTCACCCCCAAGCGACCAAGCAGTTGTGGTGGTCTGCTTGGACCGTAGAATGCATGCGGCCCCTGCTGGTCTTGCTGGTCCTCGCGTTGCTGCTCCTCTTCCCGCTGCTCCTCGTGCTGCTCCACCTCTTGCTGTTGCTCCTCTTGCTGCGCATCCTCTTGCTGCTCCTCCTCCTCCTCCTGCTGCTACTGCTGCTGCTGCTCCTCCTCCTACTACTGCTGCTACTGCAGTTGCTGATCCTCTTGCTGCTGCTGCTGCTGCTGCTCCTCCTCCTCCCGTTCCTCCTCGTCCTGCTCGTCATCGAGCTGCTCCTCCTGCTGATGCCCCTCTTCCTGCTGATGCTCTTCCTGCTGCTCCTCTTCCTGCTGCTCCTCTTCCTAATGCTCCTCGTGTTGCTCATGTCGGCGCTGCCCCTGAGCATTCAACGATGCTATTCGATCGCTGCAACGTGTGCCGCAGACATAGGGAGTAATGTCCTCCCGCCGTGTCCATGACCTGCCTGAGTCAGACCGGTCACCATTCCACTCCTCGCGAGGGAATTTCCCCCATCCTCTTCCTCCTCGTCCTCCTCCTCCTCCTCTTCCTCGTCGCCCTCCTCGTCTACCTCGTCAATGACATCTTGTCCCTGTGTTCTCTTCTAAGATGCACGACGAGCAGCAACGATGTTGGTGCTGCCCCTCTCAGATCCGCTACCTTGATGTATGACTACATCATCGTCTGTTGCGTAAAGCATACCAGCTGCCTCACCTTCCAGATTCTCGTCCACCCAGTCACCCTCTAGGCCCAACCACCCTCCTCTTACTGTCGGCGCGTCCTCCCCCCTGCTCTTCAGCCTGAGGTTCGAGTGCGGGTACACAAGCTTCTATGTATGCTTGTGCGTCAACTGCTTCCTCGTCTTCGTCTGCAAAAGGGACCACGTGGTCCAGTTCCTCTCTGCAGGAGAGGATGTGACCCAAATCGAAAGCACCTTCATCGCCAACTTCTTGATCTCCGGATGACCACTTCGATGTGCCTCCCACCACAACACTTCATCATCCTTGTTTTCTCTCCTCAACACTGTCGGGTCACCGAAGATCCCTCTGCCGAACTGGAAGTCGTACAACTGGTCTTTGCAGTCGTTGAATTCCCGAGTTCCCTTCTTCCCCACAAGGCGGTCCGCCACGCTGTCGAACTGCGCCATCAACTGCACGTTGCTGAAAACGGTGATGTCCCTCAATCAAGGGTCCAGCAGTCGGGCCTTAGCGTGAACCGGGCTCAGAGGCATGTCCATCCTCTTCCCCACATCATACAGGATGCTGACCCGCTCAACATATGTGAGTGTGGCCTCCGCAATGCAATTCTTGAGGTCCACAGCGGCATCGTACACCTGCGACAAGCAGTGAATGTCCTTGTCCACCATCCTCAGCACGTTGTACGGTCCCTGCAACACGGAATGCAGCTTCTTCACGTCAGCCCAGAATGCCCTGTCAGTAATGACGGACTCAACCTCACAAGCGTCCCTCCGAATGTATGGCTGCCAATCCATGTTCGTCCACGAGTCCCCAAGCAGTAGGCGACGAAGGGCTCTCTCGCACGTGATGAGTCGATCCAGCATCACGAAGTGGGTCCCGAACCTTGTCAAGGCAAGACGAAGGAGGACTCTGACATTGACGCCCTTCCGTGCGGTCAACTCCGTCCTCAATGCAGATCGTGACCACCTATGGTTCCTAAAGAACTTCACCACCTTATTCGCGTTCTTTATGATGCCTCCGGCCCACGGCTTGCTACGCACATCCTGCATGAAGAGGTCCATGCAATGAGCAATGTACGGGATCCAGTAAATATGCTGGAATTCCGGATCCTCCCTCAACATGGTGGTTGCACTATTGTTGCCAGAGAACGAGTCCGTGCAGATGGTGGTGATCTTATCCACCCCGATCTCCCTGAAGAAATTCTTCCATCCCCGAACAACTGAAGCAACATCCTTTTCCTGGTCGCTGACATCCTCGCACTTGATAAACAATGGCTTTGACCGCCCTGCGAGGATGTAATTGACCAACGACCGGTCACAGATGTTTGTCGTGCCATCTGTGATGAATGTGCAGCCCGTGACCTCCCAATCATCCCTGATGGCACACTCGTCATCGTTCAACCTCTGCTGCAAGCCATCCACAAGAACGCACCTCAGAGGGTTGTGGCCAGTGCGGACCAGCGGATGCTTGCAAACAGGTTGTGGCCCGAAACACGCGTTCACAAACTTTTTGTAAGACTTGCTCTTCACGACGTTGAAGGGGATCGCATTCTCAACAAAAAATCCGATGCAGGTCTCATCAATCTCCTTCTGTTGGGGTTTTTTTGCCCACCTGGAGACGGAAGTCTACTTCGCGTGTCCCCTTCTGTCAGGGTGTGATTGAGGTGCATTGGCATGAGAAGGGCCTGCTCCCCCACCACATGCACCTCGCACAACGGCACCCCTTCCCCCAATATCCTCCACCGCACGGCGCACCCCCTGACTGTGGACCTGACTGTCCAGCCCTCCCCACTTTTGTCCCCGTCGTTGTCTACCGCGGCCTCTCCTCCCTCCAAACCGCCATCACCGCTGATGTCTTCTTGCTCCGCTCGCTGCACCAAATCCAACAAGTCAGGAGGCAATTTAGCTCCCATAGAATGCAGCCTCATCCAAATTGGCAGTGTCCCATGAGGGCAACGCGCAGTCTTTCTCTTCCAAATGAAGTGGTCGACTGCACGTCGTTGGCCCCCCACAAACTCACGGCCACACAGCCTGCATTTGAGAGACTGAGGCCCCCCCCCCCACGGGTTCTGTCCTTCAACTTCTGACCTGGCGCCACCCACGTCCATGCACAAAAATTGCCCCGGAACGTGGAATCCTCCCTGAAGGGCCTGAATGGCTCCCTCTCCGCATTCAACAGTTCGAGACCTCCATCTCCCGCTGAGCTGTCAGTTGCCATGACGAGGATGTGGCAACTACCAAGGTGGGTCCTGCTGACACGACGGTTGCAGATGTTGCACTTGGTGACGTGTTGCCTGCTGACGTGGCAGTTGCTGATGTGCAGGCCGTTGATGTCGCACGTGCTGACGCGTCGGCTGCTCATAAGGCACCTACACATGCACACAGAGTCACAAACGCAAGCAAGTCAGTCTACCGAACTTATGGAATTCCACAAAAAAAAAGACCCTCAGGAGCCCCGATGCCCTTGTCCTTCTCCTCCTCCCGATCGTCCTTTTCGTCCTCATCATTCTCCTCCCTCTCATACCTCTCCCCCCCCTCCCCCTCCTCCCCAATGGCCTCCTCGACCTCCTCCTCCCCATCATCCTCTTCCTCCTCCTCCTCCCGATCTTTCTCTTCCTCCTCCTCCTTTCAGATTCTCGCAGTCCTCTTCTTTAACTCCCCTGCCACGTCACCCTCCTTCTCCTCCCACCGCCCTCTTCCTCCTCCTCCCCATCATCCTCTTCCTCCTCCTCCTCCTCCTCCTCGTCCTCAACAACCACAAGAAAAAAAAAAAGTGTCCAGGTGGGAGGGGAGGAGGAGCAAGTCAGCGATGGGGAGGAGGAAGAAATCAATGATTGGGAGGAGGAGGAAGAAGGCGATGGGGAGGAGGAGGAAGAAGCGATGGGAAAGGGAGGAAGAGGGAGATCGGGAGGAGGAGGTGGAACCCTTGAACATGAAGATCGGGAGGAGGAGGACGAAGAGGAAGATCGACAAGAGGAGGACGAAGAAGCGATGGCCCGATGGGGAGGAGGAGGAGGAAGAAGCGATGGGGAGAGGAGGAAGAGGGAGATCGCGAGGAGGAGGTGGAAGATAAAGATCGGGAGGAGGGGGACGAAGAGAAAGATCGGGAGGATGAGGAGGAAGAAGCAATGGGGAGGAGGAGGAAGAAGCGATGGGGAGGAGGAGGACGAAGCGACAGGGAGGAGGTGGAAGATGAAGATTGGGAGGAGGAGGACGAAGAGGACGATCGGGAGAGGGAGGAGGAAGAAGCGATGGGAAACAGAGGAAGAGGGAGATCGGGAGGAGGAGGTGGAAGATAAAGATTAGGAGGAGGAGGACGAAGAGAAAGATCAGGAGGAGGAGGAGGAAGAAGCGATGGGGAGGAGGAGGAAAAAGCGATGGGAAGAAGGAGGAAGAAGCGATGGGGAGGAGGAGGAAGAAGTGATGGGGAGGAGGAAGAAGAAGCGATGGGGAGGAGGAGGAAGAAGCGACAGAGCGGTGGACTCAGAGGAGGAGGTGGAAGACGGCGATCGGGGGGAGGAGGACGAAGAGGACGATCGGGAGGAGGAGGAGGAGGAAGCAATGGGAAAAGGAGGAAGAGGGAGATCAGGAGGAGGAGGTGGAAGATAAAGATCGGGAGGAGGAGGACGAAGAGAAAGATCGGGAGGAGGACGAGGAAGAAGCGATGGAAAGGAGGAGGAAGAAGCGATGGGAAGGAGGAGGAAAAAGCGATGGGGAGGAGGAGGAAGAAGCGATGGAAAGGAGGAGGAAGAAGCGATGGGGAGGAGGAGGAAGAAGCGACAAGGAGGAGGAGGAGGAGGTGGAAGATGAAGATCGGGAGGAGGAGGACGAAGAGGACGATCGGGAGGAGGAGGAGGAAGAAGCGATGGGAAACCGAGGGAGAGGAGATCGGGAGGAGGAGGTGGAAGATAAAGATTGGGAGGAGGAGGACGAAGAGAAAGATCGGGAGGAGGAGGAGGAAGAAGCGATGGGGAGGAGGAGGAAGAAGCGATGGGGAGGAGGAGGAAGAAGCGACGGGGAGGAGGAGGTGGAGGTGGAAGGTCAAGATCGGGAGGAGGAGGATGAAGAGGACGATCGGGAGGAGGAGGAGGAAGAAGCGATGGGAAACGGAGGAAGAGGGAGATCGGGAGGAGGAGGTGGAAGATAAAGGTCGGGAGGAGGAGGACGAAGAGAAAGATTGGGAGGAGGAGGAAGAAGCAGCGATGGGGAGGAGGAGGAAGAGGGAGATCGTGAGGAAGTCTGGAGGAGGAGGACGACGAGATAGATCGGGAAGAGGAGGAGGAAGAAGCGATGGGGGGCAGGAGCAGGATATGTAACCGTTTGAACGCCGTGAATGCACGTTCGCGTTCAAATGTGCGTTTGAACGTGGATTGCGCGTTCGCGTTCAAAATTGAACGGCGTTCAATTGTTTTTTATTTTTTTATTTTTTTCAAAAAATATTTTCGATACCTAAAATATATATTTTTTTCTGATTTTTTTTTTGTGAGTTCTATATGATGTGGGCTACATGTCTGTAACATTTGGAGTCATTTTACGGATGGGAAAAAAAAAGAAAAATCGCCAAAGATGGCGGTGTCAAATCATGTTCACCCACTAATTTCAATTCTCTTTTTACTTTTTTCTATTTTCTGTTTTCTATTTTTATTTCGAATTTGATAGCAAATTTGGATGTGATTCTCAGGCAAATGTTGTTTATTTTATTTTTCTTCATAACATATTTTGTTTTCGATTTTTTTTTTTTTTTTTTCGCGCGGAATTGAACTCCGTGTTCGGTCGTGTTCACTGAACGCGGGTTCATTCCGTTCAGTTTCTGAACGGAAAACCCGTGTTCAATGAACGCGCGGTAACATAGGGAGGAGGAAGAGGTGATGGGGAGGAAGAAGCAATGTCCAGCTTGCTAGTGATGCGTTTGCGCGGGGTGACAAACAGGTAGGGCGGTTGTATGACCGGTACTTGCACAGCGGGCGGCGGTGGAATCATGGCGCCGGGATTAGGTGAGGTCGACATACGCATGTAGCTGATCCCTGGATGTTCCATCGTCGAAGAGCCCAATGATCTTGGGACCATCGACCGAGGACCAAGCGTGTCTCCAGGTCGGGATGTATTTTCGGCTGATGCTCGATCGCTACTATCCCCCGGGCCCCGGTTCATCAACAACCGAAGGGGTATGAGGTGACCAGAGGAGGACGAGGAGGAGGAAGAAGCGATGGGGAGAAGGGGGAAGAAACGATGGGGAGAAGGGGGAAGAAACGATGGGGAGGAGGAAGACGACGAGGAGGGAGACGAGGAAGACGAGGAAGATGAAGAGGAGGGAGACGAGGAAGATGGCGATGGGGAGGAGGAGGAAGACGAAGAGGAGATGACAAGGGGGAGGAAGAGGAAGACAAAGACTCTGAGAAGAAAGTCTACTTACCAGCGATGGCGACTCCCGGCGACGGTGACAGTTGAACAGCGAGAGCACGACAGCAGGAGGCCTCCACGAAGATGGCGATGGCGACAACTTGACGGAGAGGGAACGACAGCAGCAGGACACGTCAGTACCAACGTACGACCTACATAGCGATGGCAACGACCAACAAGCCAGCACAACTACAACGGGTGAAGGGGTGACGCTAGGTGGGCGGTAGACTTTCCCGTCACGAAGTCGAAAATTGTGCCAGGACGATCTGCCCCCTGCAAAGCGTCACTCCTTCAACCCACGCTGGGCCCCAACTGGTTACCCCAGACCACCCCTAGGCCTACGGGGTCAAAATTGCCCCCCCAAGTGGCCCGCTACCACCACGTACGCGGGCCCTGAAAACGGGTACACGCGTACACGTACGCGCGCACGTGCATACATGTATGCGCGTATGCGGAGCACGCGTACGTGTACGCTGTGCTACCCAAATTAATTTTATTATTATTATTATTATTATTATTATTATTATTATTATTATTATTATTATTATTTAAGAAACATCTCTCTCTCTCTCTCTCTCCCTCTCTCTCTCTCTCTCTCTCTCTCTCTCTCTCTCTCTCTCTCTCTCTCT